GCGAAACCGAGCAAGTCCCAAATTCCCGCGACATCGTCCAGACTTTTTCCCCTCAAGTTCCACGACACCATGTGGACTGGGGAACCTCTGGACTTGTTCTTGGCCTGTCAGGCCCCAGCGCCAAAAGGCGAAGCATCCGGTCCGTAATCGGTCCACATCTGTTGCAGGGCCTCCTTAGGCTTGCCAGTAACCTGGGAGAAAGCTTCCGAACATAAGAACCAAACCGTATGATTCCCTCGCGCATCCTCCACGATCTGGTCGTTGGCTGTGGGTTCGTGCCCATTGTCCATACACTTGAGCATCCTGCGCTGACCTACGAAGACCTGCCCTCTCCAAACGATTTCGGGGGGAGGTCGACGGGGTTCAGGTTCGGGGGGTTGTGGGATTTTTTCATAGAAGTTCTTCGTCAAAACCAAGGCCCTGATTCTGATGCGCTCTTCGATGGAGCGATCTTTAGTCACCCACAGGTTGCAGTTGTCTTGACCTTCAATCCCACTTTTGCTCTTCAAAAGCTTAAGCTTGTCAAGGACTTTTGTTTGGAGTTGTCTCTTCCGACTCAGATCTTGGATGCCCTGGAAGTTCAAAGTCACTCTCAGGAAGTTGGTTCTTCCAGCCGGCCCTGACAAGTTTCCGAGGTGGCTGCTCATCCCCGCTGCTTCAAAAAAGTTTCGAACCTCTTCCTCTGCTTCTGCGACTCTAGCGTCAGACCACCCACCTACGACCAAACACAGGTCCTGCTCGGGATCCCGCAAACTTTCGCCAGGAAAGGCACCAGGGTTGCTTCGGGGGCTGCGTGGGCTAATGTTGCCAAGTCTACTACCACGGGGGGTGTCTGGGGCCCTAGGTGGCGTCACAGATCTGGATTTCCGATCCAGCTCGACCACTGCTTTCTCGAGTGCGGTAATGCGATCAAGCGCAGCTTCGTGATTGTCCGTTTGTTCTCTAGTTGTGGCTTCGAGGTGTGCAATGCGCGTGTCATGTTGCGCGACGCTGCTACCGAGCTGCACGCAGTACTCGTGTGTTCGGTCACTTTTAAGGTGCAACCCGTTCAAAGACTCTGTAAGCCCTTTAAGCCACTCCGGAACTTCTTGGCCTGAGCTACGAGGCACGGTTGCAAAAACACCAGTGCTTGACTGGGGTCCTCCTGCAGGAGCTTGTTCGCCTGCTGAGGTCCTCGTCCCTGGTTGTGCTTCAGTGCAGGCCTTAAGTTCATCGTCGTCATCCTGAGTAAGGTCGAAAACCTCATGTCCTTCATTGGCTTTAGGGCCTTCGTTCGGTTCGGAGCGAGGGACTGGGATCTCCATGGGGGAGTCTTCTTGGGTTGTGGAATCTTTAGGCTCGAGCTTGATCTTCTTCGCTTCAGGGGCTTGTTTGTGGATGTCAGTGTCAGATGAATCGACACGGTGTGAGGGACGTTCAAGAATCTGATGATGGTTTGAGACCGGTGGAAGTTGGGTTCGTTGCGAATCCATAGTCCTAGGTGCGGGTTTGTTGGGGGGGCGTTCGTCAGGCTTACTCTCTCTCTCTCTGGTGCGTCCACGCTCCATCACTGTCACCAAAACGGAAACAACGCAAGGAGAGAAGACTCGCCGCGCAGCAGAGAGGGGCAAGGGCAAGAGACAGTGCAAAGCCAAGGGCGGCAAACAGTGCAAACAAGCCAAGGGCGGCAAGCAGTGCAAAGTAGGCAAACAGTGCAGACAGTAGGGCGGCAAGCAGTGCAAAACGAAGAAAGAAAGGAAAGGACAGGTCAAGGGAGGACCGAAGGAAGAGGGGACGAAGACAGAGAGAGGAGGCCCGTGAAGCCGAGATCCCAGGTCGTAGTTTTCTACTTGGAAGCACACCTGTGAGCCACAAACTTGAGCCGTAGCCATTTATATATACCTGTGTGTATGTATATATATATATATATGTTATGTATATATATAATATATAATATAATATATATATATATATATTTGTGTGTATTTGATATTGCCCCTGCACTACGATGCCGGCAACGACGACGATTCTGTTTCATGCTCGCTAGACAAGCAGGCTGAAGTGCTATCGTCATCATCATCATCACCATCATCATCATCACCGACAAGCTCTTCATGTTGTACTCATCAGCACCTGCCATGTGATCACATGGATCACAGCCCTCTAAGAACAGTGGCCTCCGTCGTCGTGGTGAAAATCGTCGTACTGGAAGCAATAGTCGTAGTAGGTGTAGCTGTAGTAGTCGTCATCGTCGTCGAAGTCGTAGAAGCTGCAGCAGCAGTAGTACCAGTACCAATACCAGCCACCACCAGCACCAGCACCAGGACCAGCAGCAGCACCAGCACCAGTAGCACTAGCAACACTAGCAGCAGCAGCAGCAGCGGCAGCAGCAGCAGCAGCAGCAGGAGGCGGAGGAGGAGTAGTAGTAGTAGTAGTAGTAGTAGTGGTAGTAGTAGCAGCAGCAGCAGCAGCAGGAGAAATAGAAGAAGTAGTAGCAGTAGTAGTAGTCGTCGTCGTAGTAGTAGTAGTAGTAGTGGTAGCAGTAGCAGTAGCAGTAGCAGCCGTAGTAGTAGTAGTAGNNAGGAGCAGGAGGAGGAGTAGTAGTAGGAGTAGGAGGAGTCGTCGACGTAATCACGGCTACCCCGATGATTGCGCTCCAATTCCACAGCCACCGCTTGTAAATAAATATTCACGACGCTACGATAAGGACCTATAGGGACTCAAGCGGGCGAGTTGCACACCTCCGAATACGAACTGTCCCTGAGGCCAGAGCCTCGACATCCTGGAGCTGCCGGTTTCGCCCCAGACTCCGCACCACTTCAGGCGGTGGTCGCAATGGAAGCTCCTGCAAAGTCGGCCCTGTGCGCTCGTAGCTCTGCTCCACGTTTACTTGTTTACTTTGTGGACTGACGAATGCTTTTCTGAACTCGCAGCCCCGAATGCGATGTCTGGGAGAAGACCACTGAACTCGCAGCCCCGAACGCGATGTCTTGCAGAAGACCACACGTCCTCGAGCTCCTCTCGAACTTCTAATGGGCCTGCATCCCGAGCAGGCCGCTAGTTGCTGCATTTCATATCAAAACTCGAAACCACAGTTTCGGGCCTGCCGGTTGCCAATCATCCAGCTTCGAAAGCTCCACCCCTTCGCTTCGAGATCCTCGAGCTGTTCGCCCAAAGCCAGAAAATTAATATCTTTTTGAATTCTTGCGGCGCGGGGATTTCGGCTTTCGGTCAGAAGAAAGGAAGCTATGCCTTCGTGCTTGGACCCTCCCGTTTCTGCCCAAAGCTCCGAAGCACTTGGATCCGAATGATGGACCCACAGCCTCCCAACTCCTCAACTCCCTTCTTTCGGGATGCGGTTCAGCGGCTATCAGATGCCCCACCATGCGGCCGCAGAGCAGTCTGAGCTTGCTCTAGGGACTGCCTGAGCATTGCGTGCAAAGGAGCATGCAAAGCAACAACAATTCACGGAAGAACCCATTTTTGCAGCAGGCCTCGTTGTCCAGCAGCCCGGTCCGAGCGAATCGTCTTTACACTTGCTGAATACAAGGAGAACAGACTCGCCCACAATTCTTCCGTGAACACTGAACAAGAAGACGGTTTTAGGATTAAAGGAACCATCAGTCTGAGGCTTAGACAGTGGCTCCTTCTTCACGCTGGCGATCACGGGAAATCTTCGAGCAGGATCTGCGGAGACTTCCTGCGCTCTGTGTCATGCCTGGCCCTGCAGACCGCATCGATTCTAGCGCCTTCCCGCCTCTGAGATGCCGTACATTTCAGTCCAAACCCATGCCTATGTCCCTGCACTGAGGAGTCTGGACTAAGTCATGAGGAAGATGCCCTACGACTCTAGAGCGCGAGCGCAAGCACCCGCATGGCTGAAGTCCAAAACTGGGATGCCCTCGAGATGCATTTGGTTTACTAGTGATTACTAGTGTGTCGCAGCCCATCCTCGATCTTCACCACGAGTTTCTTCTTCAGCGGATAGTTCTTTGCAACCTTCGCCGGCGCATCTTCCCGGCCCTGGTGGCAATGATGAGGCGACAACTCAGAAGTCCGCTCGGGTCGTTTCTGGGTCCTTTGATGGCCACTGCCCAGCAAAGAGCAGTCCAAGCACTTGAGGCGCCTGGATCGATAGGGGTACCAGCACGTCAATCTCGGCGCCAATGTCCACTCGCAGGCCATCATTCAGGGAGACCTCAAGAAGAGGCCGACGATCTAAGATAATCTTGGCTTAGGGCTTAGGACCCCTGTGGAAGATTGGCAACGTCAATTCATGGGGCCGTTGCCTCCTTGTTCGTGTCAACCCTCGTGAAGTGGGACTGTGCATCATCGAAGTTGCTGGCTCTGTGCTGCTATGCAGTCGGCTGCTTGACATCTGATAATTTTATTAACAGCAATAATCGTTACAATGATATGTAGTAAAAACGATGGCATGTTTGGATCGCTCCAGAGATGGCGACTGCCACAACCACAATGACTGCCATTCGTTGAGGCGTCGCTTTCCACGCCTACACTGAGGGTAGGGGATCCTCAACGGGTTTGTTTGAGGAATCTGGGGGCCATGCAAACACGGGCAAACTGATGCTGATACTTCTGCTAGTGATTAGCACGTGCTCCTGTGCTGCGTTGAGCCTTCCACCTGATCCATCTAAGGCAGAGCTAACACTCCAAAAGCCGCAAAAGAATAGCCACTCCAACTCCAGCGCGTTGTATGTTCCAATGAATACCGCACCTAAGACATGATAAGGATGTGCGTTTGTACACAGAAGGAAGATTCTCCGAGTCCTTGTGTGTCGCCTGGGCACCTCCACGATGGTCCCAGACTCCTCCGCGCCGACCTGGCTTGGCTTCGTCTTCAAAGTTGGACGGTTCATAGACGATTATCATTGTCGTCGCCCACTTCTCCCACCTCCAGGGACTGCAAAGCGCGCCGCTTGGCCTGCAAGCAGGTGGCATACCCTACACTAATGTTTCCGATCAAAATTATTTACCTTGGTGCTGCCCGGCTTCATCGGCATGGGTGAGAACATGTTAGTTACCGCTGCTCGCTGCGACTACGACTAACTACGGCTCCTTCCATCATTAATGTCGAATCTCAATGCGAAGTCAACAAAGCTTGCGTGGTATCGCTCATATCGTTCCATCACCATTACCAGACCAGCTTTGCAGCATCCTACCTCCCAAGCAACTAGCAAAATCAAAATACTGGCAATTCTCATGTTTTGGCAACATTCGCCACGGGTGAATGAGTTTCAACTTGTCCAATTGCCAGCCGCTTCGCTGAAATTGAAGTTAAATAGAAACACCACACTTGTAAGGACTCAGCAGTGAGCTACCATGTGGGTAACGACTGCTGTTTCCATAGGAACACATACATGCGATCAACCACTAATGGCATTCAGTATAATTTCGTGCTTGGATTTGTTCAGTAGTTCTGTTGACTGGTTCCTCCTGCCAGTTGCCTGGAACGCTGGCGGACATTTCTTACGTACACGAGTGCGCAGCATCGATTTCAGTGGTAGTGGGTGTCGTCGTTGTGCTGCGTGTCTGCCTACTTAGTGGCTTCTTCACAGCGAATTTAACTAGCAACGTGTACCTCACGGAGGACACGGACAACCATGACTCCTAAGTCCAACAAATTGAGGTCGAGTCTCGTGACGCCTATCAGTGTTTGTCGTTGAGGTGGGGTCTGCTGTCACCGAAGAAGCCCTGTAGCTAAGAAGATCAGTATCATTGACCACACGGGTGGCACTTGGATAGGCTCTTGTGTTCACAAAGTACCGGCACACCAGTCATCAGATCGCTTATGTCAGCATGGAGAACTGTGCATTTCGAGTCTTTGAAGAGATGATTGTTTCGGCGTGTGACATTGGTCGAGGTGGTGTCGAGGTGAACCAATGACCGTCAGACACGCAATCCTGTGGCACGGGAGCGGCGTGCTCGATAGCAACCTCTACGGCAAAAATCGAGGGAGGTACGAAACGTAGAGAAGCAGGTGTCGTCATAGCAGCGTGGACAGATGGATGTGAAGCGAAGAGCCCAGCTCGACACGGCAGGGCCGCCAGTGCCACGGACGAGAAACAGAACAGCAGAACAAAAAAGCACTTGGGCTCTAGGCTAGGGGCTAGGCCCTTCAGGCCAGACAGCATCGATCCCACGAGGAGGAAGGGTGAACACTCACTCTCCGTCTGGCAAGTCACGGCCTTCTTCTTCATCAGAGGCGTACGAACATCACAGATCCTTGGTTTTTCCAGCATGAGTTTGGTCTGGTGCGTGCAGCATATTCACTGCAACCATCGTGGTCCCTGGCCGCGACATCTGCGCACCAAGCAGTCGGACATAACGGTGGACACCCTGGAGCCCAGCGTCTGAAGCGCTTCTTGCTCTGCGTTGCTCGCTACCGTGGTCTCCTCAGCAGCCCCGACCTGCAGCTTGAGAATCTAGGCTCCGCAGCGCTGGACTAGCCGCAGTAGCCCACCCCACAAAATCCCCTCCAGCATTCGGTTGGGATTCGGTCCCTACGTCGCGGGAAACAGCATCCTTACCAAGGCGAGCGAGCGCTACAGAATCGACTGCCTTTTCTTTCGCGTCCCCAATGGAGCTTCCCTCCAGGCTCACCAGAAAACCCATCGGCCCTACAGCCATTGACCGTAACCCTCCGACACGGTCCTGCCGAGACCTGGCTTGACCCGCCCCCTTGGGAAAGTTCTTCGCGGTGACTGCTTCCTCAGCTTGAATACCGCCAAGAACAACACAACGCAACAGTTGCAACAACGTCAACAAAACTCATTGTGAGTAAAACTGGGTGAACCGTAGAGCAAAGGTACAGGAACACGACAAATTAAACTTCTGTCTTGTTGCAGGCTGATGTAGTTGGGCTTTGGTCACCAAGCTTCCAAGTGGAACTCAAGATCTTGAAGAGCCGCTGGACCTCAAATGCCCGCGACTCCATGATGTTGGTTCAGTTGGTTCTGTCTAGACCGTGAACTTGGCTGACGTGCTGCGGGCATGCCTTATCTCATCAAGTTCATACTGTGTTTGGAAAGAAAACTCGTCTTCTGTCCACAGCACATGGAGACCTGTGGTTGCCTATCACACCCCCATCGCACGTGTGTGGATGCACCAGTGAAGCTCTGAGAGAAGCAGAGAGCAGTCGGCTGATGGTTTAAAGCAAAAGGCTGATAGGCGGAATGTCATCTTCGTCTGGCAGGAGCAGCTCTCTGGTCGTCTTGATAATGGCCGGTTCCGTCAACCTTCACGTGGCAGGTGGCATGGATCTACGGAAGACTCGACGAGGCGGCAGCAACAGAAGCAGCATTAACAGCAGCAACATCATCAACTACGACTACTCCTCCTGCTGGAGTCCCCACGTGGAATGATAGAGGTGCGGTCAGCGAAGACGATGATGATGCTGGTGATGGTGATGATGATGACGATGATGATGATAATGACGATGACGATAATGATGATGTCGATGATGATGATGATGACGACGACGATGACGACGATGATGAAGATGTTCAATATGCTGTCGGTGGTGGTCATGATGATTCTCAACATCACATCAGTTCTTTGTCACCGGTGTCACGTCGGTCACATGAACCATGAACCTCTGCTTCTTCATGCGCGTCCTCGTCCCCGCCCCTTTGCAACAAAGCAAAGGCCCAACAAGCCGCGTTGTAGCCTGGCCTCGTCACGATGTGGGCTCGGAACTTTGAAGCCCAGTTCGTTCTAGGAAAGACCTGCTTGGCGACCTTGCGCAGTCCCCCAAGGTCCATTCCGAGGAGGAGCTCATGAAGCCGATTGTCCTTGCTTGGGAAGTCACCGGGACAAGACCTGGGGATCGATGACTAGCGAGCATTGCCTAACTTCAGAGAAGCTTTCACTCCAAGGGTGACACCTGAGCTTCAGGGAATGCGAAGCGAGTGAGATACTCCGAAGAAGACTCTAGACATTCAAACCGCCGAGCTGCAGCAGCGCTCGGCGAGGCCTTGATTCGAAGGAGGTTTAGAGATTTAGACTGCGCAGGAATCGGGGGAGTGTAGCCGACAGAAGACCAGACAGTGAATGTTCAAGGGCTGCGTCGCGACAGCTCTTGATTCTTGACTGAACTAAAGTTGCAGTATGGCACCGACTGAACGGAGAAGAGTTTTGAACTTAGTCGCATTATCGCAACCGTTGGCTTGAAACAGTCTTCCAGAGTGCGGGCGTAAAGCGTAGCCGGATCTGGGCCCTGCGGTCTCTGCGCCATCTGCCTTACATACACCACCAATGCCACCTATGCACCACCGCCTTCTGTGCCACCTGCACGTCGCCTCCACCCGCGCCATGGGAAGGGGGGGTGGGGGCAGGGGGCGCGGTGCAGAGAGCGCCACAAATAACAACGCCATCTTGCATGCAAAGCGTGCGGGGAGGTGCGGGGCGCGGGCGAAGATTATACAGGGGGCGCGGGGGTGCGGGGCCACATCTGGCATCAATGGTCTTCCATGGCGGATAGCATTGTCCTGCTACAGTTTGTATGCTGCTCTTCCACCACGCTAAAGCTAAACGGTTTTATGCCACTGAGACTGTGCAGTACTGTGCTTTCGCATGTTCTGCCCCTAGATTGGATATGAGATTCGGATTGAATGGGGCTGCACACTCTCCCAGCATCAAAATCTCTGATTCTGGCTTCCCTACTGCTGGTGCTCTGATTCTTGCTTGCGGTCGCTGCTAATTCTCTCTGTACTGTCTCAATACTTATGGGCTGAATACATACTGTATAATCATATAGTTCTTGATTATCTTCCACCTGCTACCTACACCCTACCGCCTGCCACTCATCACCACCTACAGTGCACCCGCCACATCTGCTGCTGTTGCGACTGCTGCAATGAACTACCCACACCACTCACAGCTCACACTATTCACACTGATCTTCACACACTAGCCACACTAGTCTCACCACTACGACTACTACGACTACTACGACTACTACGACTACCACGACGACGACTACTACTTACTACTTACTACTTACTACTTACTCCTACTCCTACTCCTACTCCTACTCCTACTACCACTACTACTACTACTACTGCTACTACTACTGCTA